ATATATATATATGCCAACTTACTCTCGGCCTTAAAATAAAATATTTTCCATTGGTAACGAAATTTATTTTTTGAATTATATATTTTTTTAAATTAATTTTTCCACCACTACCTATCACTAATTCAAAGTATTATACGAAGTACAAATTTATTGCAGATACCACGTGAGGACACTCATAAAAAATTGACGTAATTATCCTAATTTTACGCGTCTTACTATTAAATACGCTGCCAACTTGGGCGAATGTTGAGAAAAAGATCTACATTATGGCGTTTTAGTGTATGAAATCATCACTTTAAAGTTTCAAAAAATTTTTTAAGCCTATCACAATCAAGTCAATAATTAAAAATACATGTATAAATGATGTATTTACAATAGTCTGAAATGTTTAAGTAGTTTAATGTTTAGAAAATATTTCTAACTTTAATTTGTGTTTTACAACCACTTAGTACAATTTTTTGAGCTATCGCACAATCCTATGACATGAAAAATTAACTACGTAGACTTTAAATAATCGTTTTCATCTCAGTGTAATCCCTAAAGCTGATTAATCGAAAGAAGAAATATGTATGGTTTTGATACCAGAATAATTTTACGTTTTATTTATTTATATACATACGTAGCGCCATAGTCAACAACTCTATACAGAAATTTTATTAAATCTTGCAATATTTTACTATCACTTTTAGAATAAAGAGAAAATTGTATAAAAATCCAAAGAGTTTGGAGAAAAAGATGTTCCCCGATATTCGATTTTCCTTTTTTAAACATTTTACTTAATGACGTAAAAGGAAGGAAAAGTGTTGCAAGACTATATGTCTCTAAATTTTTTTTTTTAAATAAGAGACTTAATGTTTACACTTTGTTATTTTTATTTTAAAAACACTCTAAATATTGTGTGACGTGGCAAAAGTAACAGATATTCTTCATATTTTAACATTATTTTTTGTCACATTTTCTTAATTTGCACAGTGCTTCTTTCACTTCTAGGCAATAAATTTTAAGCAATTGTGCCATCTCTGTAAAAATACTCCGTAAAATCACTGAAATTAACATATCTGTAATTAGTGATGAAACTTCACACTACTTTCGCAAATATTGCCACATAAAAAGTATTGTAAACACATTAAAAAGGATATTATATGAAATGTGTTAAAAGTACAAATCAGTATTTATACAAAATCAGTTAGCGATTTTTATTACAAGAGGACCTTCAATCACGTGTTTCATCCGTAAATGTTTCTATCATAATCCATTTTATATCTCACTATTTACGAGATTCTTCCCAACTGTAAGCTCTAAAATATTTATTGCCTAGAATTTGGAGTAAGTTATTGACTTGTACGAGTACATCTGTAATATTGTTACGCAATTTGATAATTTTAAATTTGAACTATAATCTTTACAAAACATGTAATTTTTAACGTGATGACCATATCCATATGAAAGAGGCAAAATTAATTCCATAGAAAGATTCATTGGACCGAATAGCTATGAAGAGAAGCCATGAAAAGTTATTATTCTCAACTGTGTGGACATTTACAGTCGCATTTCTTATATTACTGCTCTATAATGACCTAATTTACATAAAAATTCTGAGTTACAATTTGCAACCTGAATTTAATTTTAACATGGAAATAATTAATGAAATTGGATTTATGGAGCAACATGAAAATTCAGATGCTAAACTGGTATTTAACACAGGTAGCAAAATTGAGAGCAATCCCAGTGCCCGACACAGAAGTGCTTCAATTCCTGATATAATTTCAACGAACATTGAAAATTTGCTTACTGATTTATATAAGTTTTCAATCTACAGCCCATCCTATGAAAAGTATATGGAATACGCACCATCTCATTTACTACAAACGGAAAATCCAAACTTAGCCGACATATGGAATTTTACAATACTGTAAGTATTTTCCGTTTCTTTTATGAATGCAGATGATTTGTGATGTTTAGAAAAAGTGCTTCATTAATTATCCTAATGTGACTAACAAACATGAAAAATTTTGAGCAGCAATGATATCTATCCGGTTTTCAGAAAACCAGAGCTTTCTTAAAGTAAAGTGGATAAGAAGTTATTACACTCTTTTCTGTCGGATTTCGTTACGTCATATATCTTCAACAAGAAAAATATTACGCATGCGCGAAGAAGCTTTTTACGCACTTAGCTTGCATTTTGATCTCTTATTAATTTCTGTTGCTTTGTAAAACATCCACCACAAGTATTGTACACCTGAGCCTATATATCTATTTCTCTGTGTGTGTGTACATATATATATATACGTAAAATGATGCAGTCGGACCGAGCAGGGAAACAGACGCAGGATTTTAATGAAATCAGATGTATTTTATTAAGATCATGTTCTTATGGAAGACCAGCGAAAAGTTGTGCTCCTTGGTTATATGTTAGGGAAAATCTTGCAAAGTTAAATCCGTAAAATGTTTCAATTTAGGGAAAGAGGGTAGTCTCTCTCTTAGTAGTTGCTATTGGTTTATGAAATAGATCGAGCGTTTCCCACACAGAGCAAGGGGAAAAATGTCCTGCTCTTAATTAAATGCATACTAGAGACATATCTGGTCAAAATCGTGAATATTCTTAAGCATTGAGTTAAATGTTCGAACAAGATCGAAAGTAAGGATTTTCTTTCCATTAAAGTGTCAAAATATCCTTTCGATCTGTCATCTGTTGATTTTAAATATACCTTTTCGATTGACTGTAAAGATCTCGTTTCCAGCAACTGTAAAATCACTTTTTAAATTACTATAAAGATCTCTTTTTCAGTTAGCTATTTTGATTCTCAACATTTATGTCTCTTCTAAAATCGGATAAAAATTGTTTATCAGTTGAAACAGGTGAAAAAACGCTATAAGTTGATAGAACAATTGCTTGGTCAATGGTTTGTAACAAGAAATGAAAACATAAATCATCTTTGTAAGCACAGTTATTAAATTTAATTAATAGAATAAAAAAGATACAAAATTAGTTAAAAAAACGACAGCAAATTCTCAATTAATAACTGTTAATAACATTAAAATTGAGATAAAACTGTTAGTGAAATACTTGTATGAGTATGTCTGAACAAAGAAATTCAAAGTTTCGTTAAATGCTTATAAGTTTCAGTCAGCAATTACTTTAAGGTAAGTTTAAATTATGAAACCAAAAAAAAAGTATTTATATTTTTATCTAAAATTATGCATTTGAATAACTTTTTAAAAAAAAATTGAAATGTTGCAATTAATGAAATGTTTATCACAAATATTAACATATTAAGAAAGATGTCAACTTACATACTTGCCAACTTTTACGCATTTGGCTTCAAATTTACTACCTAATATTTAGTTTACTAACCCGAATAATTTTAACATCAATGCCCTTTGATTCAGTTTGTAATCATATCATTTACGGAGGTGGCCAATCCGGTGCAACAATTACAAGTTTCCGCAGTTTTTTCTGGTTATTCGCAAAAACTTTTTCAAATTACAGGGTATGTTTCAGCCTAAAATTTAATTTAAATTCTATTTTACTACCACTGGAGAAAATCATCCTCGAAAGGATTATAAGTTGGCCGGTATGATCGATCTGTTTTGAGGGGGATAAAATCTAGTTTTACTCGTAACAAAACAAAATTTATGTTTTAATGTTTTGTTCTTGGATATAAAAATTTGATTGGAATCTATTTTGAACATCACTACAAATAAATAATTTAAAAGTTCACATTTATAAGTGCCTTTAATCATAAAAAAACTGAATTTTTAAAATTCATTCATTAAAAAATAGCAAGATGTAAAATAAAACCAACCTTTCCTGTAATGTGATATACTATCCAAAATAAATAAATAAACTATCAGATTTTTCTATCTTTCTTGAATTCTCCATCGAATTCCAGAGATCATATTCTTTTAACTATCTTGAATGGCCTGCCACCTGGTGTGGTTTCCAAGAACTCTTTGGAGCCTCCAAATGAAAAGTACTTGTAAATTGCAACACAAATGCGGATCTAAATAACATATTGACGTGAAAATATATTTGTTCTCGTATGAGGTCCATATGCATGAAAAGATTAATTTCTATAAATTATAGTATATTTTACTTTCCCACTTAAAAAAATTTAGGAGAAAGTGGAGCAGTTGGCATTCTTGCATATCAAAAATATATCGATCGTAAATTGTATACTTTTTTATTGAAAATGATGTGTGTCTTGAACCCACCAAAATAGATCTTACATTTTATTACTATATTGCAATAATCTTTTCCATTTAGTTGACTAAATGTTCAGAAAACTTATTAATTGGATAAATTTAGTTACGGTATGTTAGCACTATTTCAATAATCATCCCAAATGAGATCACGTCAATAATCATTGTTGAATATTACAAGCTGTTGCATATTACAATCTTCACTTAATTCATTGCTTATCCTCAGAATAACTAATGTCAAATAGTTTAACGCAGGGTTGCCATGCTAAAAGGGGTGACTAATATTATTTAAAATTTCATTAAAAAGATTAAAATTAGCTACTTTTTGTGATTTTTTTAAACTTTACTATAGAGTTAGAGAGTGCTCGCATGGTCATGGTAAAATGGGTGTAGTTTTGGTTCATTAGAACCCGTAAAAAAATATAAAGTAGAGAAAACATCATACCAGACGTATTAGGCATGCTGGATATCTGAGTTATTTTGGTGTTTGGCGCGCAGCGCCATTGATCTATTTATTTTATTGTGTAAGCGTATAAATATGTACTTGCAAGTGAGGATTTCATTTTAAATATAAATAATTTGAAAAGCAAATCCTAGTGGTAGTTACGATTGACCAATTAAGGAAATAATTCAAAATTCATTGAATACTGTCACTTTTTACATTTATAGTCACCTGTGGCATCCAATAACATTTAGTTTTTTTTAAAGAAGTAAAGCAAAAAATATTTCAATCATCCTGCCTTTTAAATTCTCTAATAATGAATTAATTTTATGAGTGTTTAAATTATTTTGCTTTTGCATTTTTCAAAAATGGATAAATCAAAATTTTATATTTTATTTCACAGGGACGAAATGCCGAATTGGAAGAAATTCCACTATGAAATTAGTAAAAATCATCTATATGAAGATTCTACAATAATTGAAGGACTTTTGCAAGATATGGCTACACAAAGAATTATTGCTGTAGGTAAAAATAATTTCGTAGTCAGAAATAGTAATTTTTTTTCAAACTAAAAGCAATAAAATAGACCTATACAGAGAAACAAATCATATGCTTACAATTTCATGTTAAGTATAGATCGTCAGTGAATTTAGGGGTTAGCAATAAATTAAAATAGAGAAATTTATTATTCTATTTTACTTATTATTCTATTTATTATTTTTAATTTATTATATTTTACTGAAAGGAGTCAATACGTAATGTTTACATAAATCATTCCTTATTATGTTTTATATTTGTCGGGAACGCGAGATTTAAGTATTGACTGTTTTTGCTTAATAAGTAGTTTAGAAAAAAATAAACTCATAATAAAGGAACTTATTGGATGAAGCACGTGAGTGCATAGCTGCCAACTTTTGCGCATTTTGCATAAACTTTTATATTTCTACTAAAAGTGCTAATGAAATTTAAGCATTCTATATATTTTCTGAATTTATAAAATGATTTTGACTATTACTGCTTATAAATGAATTAAACATATATTTAGAAGTATGATAATTTATGTACACTAGAAGTATGAGTTATGAAGTATGATAATTCATAATAAAGATACTTAGTGGTTGAAGCAGGTGAGTGCATAGTTTCCTACCTTTACGCATGTTGCAAAAAAGTTTATGCTTTTTCTTAAAGTTCTAATAAAATTCATGCATTCTATTTATATTTTGAATTTATAAACTTTATTTAAAATGATTTTGACCATTACTGTTTATAAATAAATGAAACTTGCATTTAGAAATATGATTTTCATATGATGCAGAGATTCCAACTTGCTGCGGACAGTAAATATATATTTTAAAGTGGTAGTTTATCAATTGTGATTCTTGGTTTAATAAATTCAATTTGGTAAATGATTTTTAGCTACCACTATTTCTAAATAGTTCGTAGGCTTATATAATTCACCACTTTATAGTATTTATGTCGTGCTATATCTTTTAAAAAGCGAGCAAAAATTGTCAAATATTTAAGAAATTTACTTTGTAGTTATTTACCGTTTTTTAAAAATTATTTTTGTGTGTCAGGAGCAGTTGGCATCTCTGATGATGGTAGGTTTAGGCTCTTACTCACTAAAAAATATATTTCTGCATATGATTGGTAATTCAGTAGTAATTTTATTACCACTAGTAAAATCACGCTTGGGAAAATCATCATCGGAGGGATTATATTAAAAGTTGGCAAGTATGTAAATAACATTTTCAAGTGCAATTCTTTATCTGGGAATATTATATAAATTGCTATTATCAGTATGGGAATATTTCTTGTAACATATATTTGTCTTTGCTTTCACTTTACTTTTGACATTACCTATTCAAATAAGTTTTGAGTTTGCTTGGAAGATTTTTATTTTAAATTACTTAGTGGTAAATAAAATTAGTCAAAGAATAAGAACAAATAGTCCCGCCTTAAAAGAAGAATAGTTTGGACAACATTTTGACAGACTTACTTTGCTTTTATTTTAATTATTGTTAGTTTAATCATATATATAATCAATGTTAGTTCAAAGTATAACTAAATAATTTTATTTTGAACTAAAGTAATGGTGAATTAAATAAATCAAACAATTATAACCCCGACCACAAATAAACTACTAAAGAACTACTTTGATTACCAGTTTTATCTTTTTATCCTGATTGATACGGTTCTCTGGCACTTGAGAATCGCATATTATAAAACCATACTAACTAGTTAAATTAACTAGTAACTTATTAACTATTAATAAGTTACTAAGTTACTGAATTAACTAGTAACTTATTAACTATAGTATTAACTATAGTTGTGACAGTCGGCCCGAAAGGGTTAAAGCCCCTCTGAAAATGTCTCTTACCTGATTCATCCACTCAGCTCTTTAACCGAGAGAAAATATTTATTTTTATTATAAAATAATTCAGTTAATTAACTTTATTAAGTTTTATTAGGTAATTTTAATTATTTCATAAAATAATAATTTTTTCCTTTTTAACAATATTTGTATAATGCAAAATATTTTTTTATGTATTTCTTTATAGTTTGGTTAAAAAAATAAAATCCTCTGGATTCAAATAGTAAGACCTGGAAAAAAAATAAGATTTTACAAAACTACTGAAAAATGGTTAAACTTATCTTTATTATGTTATGTCACGAGTTATTTTTCGCACCCATGTAAATTTTGCTTAAAATTAAATATTTATTGATAGCTTAACATATTTAGATACATCTCACTTTCGCTACTACTTTTAAAAAAATTCTATAAGATATTTATATACCATAAAACTGTGCAAATTGTTACGTGAATTAAATTTCTTACCCATCATATATTTTTTTCATAGTACTTAAGAACTCTGGCCAACTTGGGTGAATTAAATTATATTTTATTATATATAATAACTATGCAAAAGTAGACAAAGAAACAAATAAATCCTAAATATTATTCCCCAAGTGGTAAAATTATTCCAAATTCTCTCCAATATATCTGACGAATATTGGACAGAATTTGGAATTGGACATAATATGTCCGATATATCACGACGATATATGAAGGGGTATTTATAAAATAATACTTTACATTTGTGGAGAAATAGGAAGAAAAATCAAATTGTTGACTAATAAAACGTAAACAATAAGAGAATCGGCGATAAAATGCGTTAACTAATTTCATTCCTATTACTTGTTACTGTAAAATTAAGAAATATGGCATCAAAAAATTTGAATCTTAAATTATGGAATTTTTTTTCTTCTTTTTTTTGTTTTAAAAAAAAATTAAACGTAGCACCTAAAAATAGATTTAATTATTTTCATCGTGAATAAGAGGAAAAAAAAAGGTAATAATATCATACCTGCCAACTTTTACGCATTTGGCGTAAAATTTTATTTTTATATTTAAAGTGGTAGTAAATATATACTATTTTTTCTTTTATAAACTTAATTTTCAAATGATTTTGATCACCGCTATTCCTAAAAAAACTAAGTAAGTATAGTAATATGCATTACTTTCATAGTTGTCAGCTTAACCTTTTTCAAATACATCAAATTTGTTTGCTTAAAAGGGAAATTTCACTCTCATTTTAATACCACTGGGGAAAATCATATTGGAAGGTATTAAAAGTTGGCAGGTATGTAATATGGTTTTATATTTGAAACTTCAATTACATTCAATTATTAATTATCTACCACTATTTATTTTTTTCGAATTAAAAAAATAGTCCTGCATTCATGTTATAATAGTTAGTAACCACAACTACTAATCTAAACTATCCCGAACACAATATTTACTAATCCCCAAAATAATGTAAATGCGGAACTAGTTGTATAAATACTCATAGCTCTCTCACGAAATACAAACAGCCTCAAACAAAAAATGTTCATTGAGTTTAATCCTACCACTTATTTTATAAAAAGAGTTTCCAAAATTAATATACATGATACTTACCTGCCAACTCTTCCGGAAGATTTTATTTTCATATTTAAAGTGGTATTAAATATATAATATTTTTTCTTTTATGAACTTAATTTTTAAATGATTTTGATCACCACTATTCTTACAAAAACTAAGCACATATATTAATATACGTTACTATCATGGTTGTCAACTTAAGTTTTCTCAAGTGCAACGTATTTGTTTGCTTAAAATTGAAGTTTTAATTCCATTTTAATACCACTGGGAAAAATGATAATGGAAGGGATTAAAAGTTGGCAGGTATGATGATATCGAGGATAACCAGAGAAACTACCCGGCCCCTGAGCCTGCATGTATGAAGTGTGCGAAAGCGCATTCACCTACACCTACTGCTACGAAGTGAGCCTCCAACATGCCTGCTTCACAGGCTGCAATGAACGACCAAAGAAATCAAAGGGAAAGCCACTAGACTACTCCTGATCTTTAAAGAGATGCAAGAGCTCCTTCAAAATGCTTTACTAGTGACGATGCTACAATCACTCCTTTCTAGTGTCCAAGCCTAATCCAACACTTTGTCTTTTCCACGTGCTGATCACAACTGGCTGTGATCACTATTTTTCTTTTATTTCAGATTCACCACATCTGAGCCAACATTATCGACACTTAAACATAGATGATTCGGTTAAAGCCGCTTCGCGGCTGTGTACCGAGATGGAAGCAATTTCTAACATTCTAATTATAACAGTCAGTGGATTACACATCAAAAAAGAAATCAATTCATTAACGTGAGCGGTACGGATAAGGTTAATGCTAACTTTTGCGCATTTGGCGTAAAATTTTATATCTATATTTAAAGTGGTAGTAAAATATTTGCTTTCTTATATTCCTTGTATTTATAAACTAAATTTATTATCTTTTTGACCACCACTATTTTTAAAGAAATTATGCATATCTATATATATATATATATATATATACGTAATACTGTGCGATTATCCGCAAAGTCTTGAACAAATTAAGGCGCATGTTTTCTGCCAAAAATTGTAATTCAAATTCCATTTTACTACCACTGGGGAAAATCTTCTTCGAAAGGATTAAAAGTTGGCAGGTATGTAATGGTATCAAGGGTAATGAATTCTTATTATCATTCTTCTTACTATTCGAGTTTTAATGATTTCAAATTAAAAAAAATTGATGCCCACAACTTCATTTTATAATTTAGCCCTTTCGAAAGCAGTTTTTTTCCCTATAAGAAGACAAATCTCTACTTTAATACATCAAATAAGGTAAAAATAACTATTAGTAAAATTGGGGGAATGGGAACAGGGTTTTTTAGACAGGACACATGTATCCTAACGGAGTTTTCTTCTGCGGGACATATATATCTAAACGGTCAAATAATTAAAGAGAGTCGGTAGGGCATATACATCACCTCCTACATCAAAAAGCCTCCACACGATCTTTTATAAGTAGTCCGTAGTCCGCGCAGACTATTTAAAAAGTGAACCAGTTGTGCGCATGAACCCAGTAATTGAACCATAAAAGTAATTGAGAGAAATTCATCATATATATTTGAGAATTGAATCTGTAGTGGTTGACAAATGAATACGGTAAACCAATAATATTCATAAATAAAACAAATTTTTAATCATATATTTGCTACCACTTTCTTATTTTAACTAGATTTCGTATTAAGTGACTCGTTCGGAAAGTGGATATCCTTCACACTGGTCTGATCGGACTACCTATACGAAAGTAAAGCATGTGTTTATTTAATTTTTTGATGGAATTTCTCTTTATAGAACAACACCCTGGTGGTACACAACTTAAATTTATTATACATTTCGAGGATGGAGGAAGAGCTCTTATGAAACCGATGAGGTAATTTAAAATAATTTTTACCTCTTTTTTGACTGTACGTAAGATTTCTCGAGTTTCTTTTTTCAACCACAATACATTTTGTATTTAAATTTGATATGCATAAACATTTTTTTCCACTAGAAAGTTTGACCAGTGTTTCATTAAATATGTATCCTTGACGATCGTTTTAGTAAATATATTTGCGTATATTTTTAAAAATGTTCATTTCTTATTTTGTCTAAATTGATTTAAGGGGTTTTCTGATCTTGAAATTTTAAAATATCGATTATTTTTAATTGCATATTGCAATACCTCATAAGTATATATGAGAGAAACCGTTTTGTTTGAAAACTATTTGATATATTTGGAAATCGTGATTATCGGCGACGAGGGCTCACGGACGTTCTATCGACAAAAAATGTAAGGATAATCAGCGTAGATGGTAATTCGAGGTAATATAAAATTCGAGATGGTATAAAAATGCGCACCCTAAAACAATAACGCATTGCTAAATTTGTTTATTTTGACGTTCTCTCCAAATCGCATCAAATCAATACCTCCTAGAAAAGAGAAGGCCTTAGCACGGATTACCGTAAACAAGAAATTTGATCCTTTAGTAGTCCAAACGTAATGACATCTTTCGTATTTTCTACCACTGCGCAACTTAGTAGCCCCATCTTTCTTATTTTTCATCGACTGCGCAGTTTATGTTCGTCACGTCGGACTACTAAACTGATCCGTGCGGAGGCCTTCATTTTTCTAGGAGGTGTTGATCAAATCCGGTAAAAATGTAGTCAAAATTGCCAATTAATTGACTATGGCTATCATAGCGGTGATTACATGAGTATTGCCAGCATGATGGAGGTCATGGGTATTCTATTTGGCAACCCAACGTTAGGGTTTTGCAGAAGGTGCAGGGCAGGTCGCCTGGAACGCTTGGAGCATCGCATGTCTACCCCCAGCAAAGAATTTAGATCTACGGGGCTGCAGAAAGGAAAAAGTATGAGCCTACGAAATGTATGAGTAAAACGTGCTTTATGATATATTCATTTGAAAATTATCCTGAATAGGTAAGTAAGATACATTCTCTGTAAACCTAAATTTTCGTTTCTTAGATATACTAGTAAAGAGGAAGTGCCCATGAAAATGTGTGGCTATGCGAAATTAGCGTTGTGTCATAGTTTCATTTGTATTTTTATCCTGTATTTTTGGTAAGATATATAATTGAAATCGTGAATATTTTTTGAATAAATTTGCCAATGGAAACAATTCTCGTAAGCCTACATACACATTTGTTTTATATTTCTTGGATATAACGAAGTGCTGCGAATGAAAATGTGGGAAATTTGCTATAAGTGAAAATTTCAATCTTAACTTTATAGAAACTGAAATAGTATGCATTTGTTTGAAAACGTTTCTGAATAGACGCCTATATAAACATTCCTTTGCAAGCCAACATCTTTCTCTTGACTTTCCTCAGGGATTCTACAGGCAACTAAAAATGTAAAAAGTTACACAAATATCTATTAAAATATATTAAAATTAACTTTAAGGTCCAAGTAAAATTCGAGGTGTCTGCCTTACGGTACCCACCTCTTCAACTAAGTCATTTACCATAGCCTACGAATGAATTAAGTTTGAGTTTAAAATTAACTTTTCTAGCAAGTCTTTTTATAGTTTACTATTGAACGTAATCGTAAAGACTTGACTTACTCATTATACTCCTTCATCTGATGTTTGCCCTAGGCATCACCTTCTACATCAGAAAACCTCCACACGGGATTTTATAAGTAGTCTGAGCAGATTATTTAAAAATCGAACCAGTTGTGCGCATGAACCCAGTTTCTATTTTAAAAGTAATTGAGAGAAATGTATCATATATATTTGAGAATTGAATCTGGAGTGGTTGACAAGTGAATAAGACAAACCAATCATATTCATAAATCAAACAAATTTTTTAATTTTTACTAGATATTCTATTAAATGGCTCTTTCGGGAGCTAGTTTTCCTTCATAGTGGTCTGATCAAACTACCTTTAAAAAACCGTATGGAGGCTTTCAGTTACAGGAGGCGTTGCCTTTGTGCGACTGGGACTGCTGGCATAGATGAAGCAGGTGGCGGCTTTGTAGTAAATTAATTTTACAATGGATATAACAAAATAAAATAAAATAAATGTAAAACTTTATATGTGCCTGATCATGAGAATTAATGTTCATAAACAATTAAAAGTCTGGTAGGGAAACAATTAGCTATATATCTAGATGGGTATAGTCCCCAGCTGAGAATAACCTTTGTTCCTTTCTGCCTTTCAGGAGTATTCAATGAAATATTAAGAATGTTTAAAATTCAAATTTGAATAATTTGCAATTGGTGGTAGTTACAATTGAATACTTAAATAGATTAAACATATAAAAAAGAATTGTGGTTTCTACCACTTCTTACTTTTTAGCCACTCGTGGCTAAAATGACTGTGAAAATGTTGCCTGTGTGCCTACATTTGTTTTTTAGAGATGAAGAGGTGCCTATGGTAGTTTGTGGCTGTCAGAAATTTGTGATGTGTGATAGTTTTATCTATCCTTGTTCGGATATTAATGATATCCTTTAAATATTTTTGAAAAGTTACTGAAATAGATAGCTATGGAAACATTACCTCTAAGCCTACGTTTATTCCTTAGCTTTCCTGGAGATGAAGAAGTGCCTTTGATGGTGTGTGACTATTTGAAATTGGTGATATGTGATAGTTTCATTTAAATTTTTTTTATCATCTAATTTTGAAGAGATAAAAGTAAAATCAGGTACATTGTTTTGGAAAATTATTTTAAACTAATGCCAATATATATATATATATATATATATATATCCAATTTTATATATATATATATATAAAATTGGAGGGATCACTTGTATGCATTGCAAGGATTCAAGGAATGTATATATACATATACATTCTTTGTAAGCTTACGCTTTTTCTTTCTCAGATATCCTAGAGATAAAGAAGTGCCTATGCGAACTTTATATTTCAGTGATCATGAACGACATGTCAGCGAAATTGCAGCTTTTCATTTAGACAGGTAATAATCATAAGGTTTCATCATTAGTGCTTACTAATTGAGGATATTAATTTTGTCTCATTTCAATGGTATTGAAGTGTTTCTTGCAAGAAGTCATTGATTCGATGCTTTATGTTTCTGAAATTTTTTTTTAGTTAAGTTATAATATTCTCTTGTTTTGACAACTAGAATTGAAGTAGCAGGTAAAATGAGAACTAACTGCCTCTTTAAAAAACGCTTGACAAGATGGGCTAAGAAATTCAGTTATATATGATATTGTGGAATAAGTGCTGTTAACCTTAAATTTTTCCTATGGTGAAAAGTGCTGAAGTTTTTCAGAAAATTAAAATAAGACTAGTAGAGTAAAACTATTTTATTTCTAGCTTTTCTTCACTTATACAATTTTGCAATCTGCAATTTTATGTTAAAGTGTTGTGAGTTGTCTCAAGATTTCTCGAAAAGACAGCCTTCAAACAAGATTTTAGAATATCAAGATGTACTGATGAATTCGATAATGACGAAACTCATTCCGCCCTCGTCACATTATGATGCTCCTAGCATGCATAATGCAGGGCGTGGCAGAAGTTTGCAGAAGTCAGAAATTGTGGAAGACATCTAGCAAAAAGTGGTAGATCGTCCGGATATTAAAACGCGAAAGGTTTCCCGTTATGATCCCCACTCCGTTGCTTGATGAATACTACGTGACGAAGATTTAGACCCTACCATGTACAAAAAGTAGAAGCCTAAATACCTGCAGATTATGCTCCACCAGACAAATTTGCATATTAATTTTCGCAACAGCTAGTAGGTCAACCTGAGTTTAGTGCGCACGTGTTATTCACGAAAAAAAATGAGCTATTACTCTTTACGGCATTTCTAATATGCACAGCCTCTATGAGTTGGCATCTCGCAATCCATATGGCACAAGTTCTTTTGAGCCTCTTTTCATCGTAATTTTGTGGGTTGCAATTCTGGGTAACTTTTTTTTATCAGCCCATACTTTCTGTCATTTTGACTGTGGACAGCAGAACATACATCACATTTTTCGTCGCATCATCGAACGTTTCCCACACAAGAGCAAAGGGAAAAATGTCCTGCTCTTAATTAAATGCATAGTTGAGCCAAAAATAGATTTAAGAACAGGATGTGGCTTTTAAAAGTGTGAGAAAGTATTTCAAATAGAATAATTAATTAGGATGAAGTTCGATAGCAAAGAAACTAACATAAAAAGATTAATTGAAGCTTTTTATGTTACATATATATATATATATATATATTGAAGATTTTTTGGAAGATATTTTTACATAGCATTTTTTCCCTTTGTCTCCGTCATCTTATTCAAGGTTGAGAAAACTACGACATTCACAATTACCAGAGCAAAATCCTATATTTTAAGATAGCACTTTGAATTTTTAGAACTTTTGGAAAATTATTTTCAAATATATACGTATAGCTGCTTATTAAAAAAAACATAAGGAAAGTTGTGTTCACAGATAAGTTGAATAATTGAGGTTTGTTTCCTATTCGTTGCAGCTATTAAGCTTTTTTTAGACTCGTTGTAACCCTGTTTAAATTAGTTAAGTTTGGTATTTAATCAATTTGTTTCTGGCTTTTCCAAAATAGTAAAAAATTATCCGTATCTCAGATAGTGTTTATTGCATTATAAATATCTTCTCTGTTTTAGAGGGCAAGCATTGTTTCTATGGAAAGTGCCGAATGTATTGTGATAAACGGTATAGTTTCTGTGGAAACCCCGACATCATTGAAGGGAGTTTTGCAGCCTACTTACCTCCAGCTCCTTATGAGTTGTTGGCTCAAAGACTTGTACAAAATCCTTGGAAGAGGACTTACATACCTGGCTTGAAAGCCGAATGGGAAAAGAATTCAAATTATTGTAACGATGTTGTCAAGAATTTGAAATTATTTCAATCAACTAGGAGGTTGTATGATGTCATAGATTGCGCCATTTTCGATTTTCTTATTGGTAAGTGTTTAGCATAAATTACCAACTCAAGTAGACTTTAAACTTGAAAGGGATAATTCTATAGAATCTTTTCAATTATATAAATTTAGTTTCTCTTTACTTTTCTAACAACTTAAAGTCTGCAAATAAACATATGAATTTGAAGCCTAACAATTTTGTTCTAAGATTGCGTCACGTTTTCTTTATCTAGAAAAGGCCCAGGTAATTAAACCATGTCCCATTAAAATCTCAGAAGACGTTTTTCTAATTTCCAAGTTCTTTTTTCGTGCAAAATTTAACCTATTTAGTGAAAAACAGATTTTTGCGTTTTTCTGTCCTGAAAATTGCTTAAACCACAGCAATAATAAAAAATGTTACACTGATCCCATTATAGAGCCACTGAAAGTTTAAAGAATGCTACATACCCAATTTTTTATTTAAACCTATCAGCAGTGTTGCCATATTAGGGGCCTTCTCCTAAATTTAGGGGGAATTTTTATCTTCAGTGGGTATTTTAGGAGAATTTGTTTTTAGGGGTTTGTTTTAGGGTTATTTGTGAATTTTACTAGTTTACTAGCTAAAATTATTCGAAGATTTACACGAGTTGATTTTTTTTCTTTACAGCAAATCATTGTACCGCAATAGTTAAGTGAATAAATTATCAATGCATAATTTCAATTTTGAGTCGTTTTTAATGATTCCCTTTTGTGTTGATTTTAACTACGAATTCAATTCTCTTGCAATAAATATTGATTCCGAAATCGTACGTTATGTTAAAGAAAGATGCATAAATTTTGTTGTTAAATTATGCAAAGAAATTCAGAACAGAATACCAGATAATTTTGAAACATTAGAGTCTACATTCACCGGATTCAAAACGTAAATTTGTTAAGGCAAATATTACAGATATTGTTGCTAAATTTTTCATCAATTTGTATTGATGTTGATGAAACATTTGCTAAGTGGAATTTATTTTCGGATGTATATGATTTGAATTGTGATTCTACAGAATCTTTATGGGTAAAAATGAGTGAAATTAAAAATTCTTGTGGAAATTTAAAATTCAAACATATTTCGACTCTTGTTTTAGCTTTATTAAGTATTCCGTTTTCAAATGCAACTGTGGAGAGACGTTTCTCCATATTAAATATTTTTAAAGACAAATTGAGAAATAAAATGTCTATAACTACAGCTGATGCTTTTTTGCGCTTCTTCTATGTTAAAAATGTTTAACAGCAAAAACATATACAAATCAGAAAGTAT